CCAGTCTCTTTTTAAAGGTAAAAGGGAAACCATGGCATATAAATATAATGCCTGGCTTAAAACCTTTCTTTTTATTTAGATATAAAAGAGGAGATGATGGGAGATGTCATTCTGTAAATATGTCTGCCTTATTTGTTGAAGAATAAAACACTGTTGGCCAATAGGGAAGCAAGATAGGCAGGACTAGGAGAGAAGGAGGATTCTGGGAAATGTAGTAGGGAGTCACCATGTGATCCTGGAAGGAGAGGACTCATGTATCTGGCATTCTCAATAAGATAAGACCTTGTAGAAATATATATTAGTAGTTATGGGTTAATACTTAAGACAGAGCTAGCCAATAAGAAGCCCTAGATATTAGCAGACAGCATAGTAACTAATAGAGTCCCTGTGTGTTATTCCGGGGCTCTGAAGAGGTAATGGGACCCAGGCGAGAATCTCGCAACCAGGAAACAAGTTTTTAGCATATTTAATGTGAGTGAAAATCCCAGGAAGCCTTATCCCCATGAATCCACAAAGCTCTATTCACCTATCTAAACCCCATCTTTAACATTTGAATCAGAATGGACATAGAAGCTGAGCCCCTAGCAAACTTCACTCAATCTTTTAAAATTACCAGACAATAACTTAACTTTGGTCACTAAACATTATTTTTTATATCATGAAAAATATCCATAAAATCACATTTTTAGAAAGCTGGGAAGTTTTATTATACTGTAGCTTTGAACACTTGATCTGGTCCACCTTCTATCAAAAAAGAATCTTCTTGCATTCTGCAAAATTCTCCTACTTACAAGTTGTCTTCTCTCAACAGAATTATACCAGGGTGCTGGCTAAGCAGAATACATTCTGTAGGCACTTGGCCAAGTGGTGTGTCCATGAGAACTATTGCTATTTCAGGATGTAAACACCGGTTTCTCTCCAAAGAGAGGGAATGCCCAGACCCATTCAATGGAATTTTTAGAGAAGTGAACTCAGATAATTACATACACATTGTTTCCTTAGAATGTGATACTTGTAAGCAATATCTGGAGAGAAGAAAAGAGCATGGGGTTGAGAGAGCAAAAGTGACAGTACCTGAACCTGACTGTGATGTAACCCTCTACTGCATAGTCCCTCTGCCTTAACAGGAACCACTCTTGCTCCAACTCCCTCCCTGCCAAGGCAGACTGTAGCTTTAGGCTGACATTTCTGCCTGTCAGAGCAGATCTTACCAACAGAGATCAGGGATGATAGGGGAGTCACAGGAAGGCAAAAGGACTGGGATTCTGGAGACAAGTTATTATTTTCTCTCTTTATACATCAAATTCAACCACAATGGATGTAAGAAATACATAACCTAAGAGTAACTGTTAAACACATTAGTGTTCATTGTTCTGATATGGAGACGTAACTGACAGGAATTTATAGAGCAGACATTCAGAAAGTCCTTGTAGGATATAAACGGACTTAGAGTCGCTAGTCCTCTGATATCCAATATATGCTTGAGCCTCCTGCCTCTAAGGCCCTTTCAGAAGATGCTCTTATTCAAGTTCCCTGAAAATGGTCACAAAGATGTAGATTCAGAGAACAGGGCTACAGGGAGTCTTGGGACACTATGCTTCTTGGACAGTCACTACTTGGGCTCATAATTCTCAGGGGTTACTATGTTGTTAGAGGAGATACACTCTCACACACACACACACCTTACTTTTTCCTATATGTTGTGATATTCTTACCTCGTATAAACAACATGTGAGTAGTGACAGAAACTCTGTATTTGATTATATTGTAAAACATAATAAATGTCTATGTGAGTACAAAATTCTCTGGGAAAATTTTAAGTGTATCATACATGAAATAATGGTAGCTTGAGGGAACTTTCAGGACTGATGTAGGATACAACAGACAGCTGGGTAGTGAGAAGGAAGCACTGGAGAGGGTTTGGCTTTGGTTTACTATTGGCTATAAATTATATTTGCTGGTTCATTAAAATAAAATTTTCTCTCTGCTTTCCATTTTCCCTTGCATCTTAAATGAAATAGCATGAGCACTCCACACATCATTATTTTCTGATACTTCTGCAGAAGAAAAGTGACCGTAGCAGTTCTAAGAACTCTTTACATATGACTTGGGTTCATTTTCAGCCTCACTGGTTAAATTGTCTTCAGCAGGAAATTACTATTTTTTATTTTCATTGTGTGTTTTATATAAAGCATTGGGCTCTTTATAATAGTCTCTCCTGTTTTTTGTTTGTTTTTTTAGTGGGCTGATGTGTTACAGACTTTTTATTTTGTTTTTGTTGTGTTTTGGGGGGAGGTTTATTTACTTAATTATCCATTTATCTATTTTGAGACAGAGTTTCTCTGTGTAGCCCTGGCTGATCTAGAACTCGCTCTGTATAGCTGGCTGGTCTCAAACTCACAGAGATCCACCTGCCTCTGCCTCTTGAGTGCTGGGATTAAAGACATTCACCACCTCCACCAGCAAATTACAGACCTTTTATGAGAGCACTGAACCAACGCTTTTCAGAGTATCCTCTAATCACAGAACATTAATCAGAAATATTTGTCCTTGACTATAATTTTAAATACCTTCCTGGGCTACAGAGTGTGGCACGGTTATTTTCGTCATTGGTTCATCATTGCAAACTCATTTAAGTGGATAAAACTCCAAACTAAATTCAGAATCTTCATCTTAAAGCCAGCTTCCTCACAGCCTCCCATATCGGCAACAACAGCAGCTCCACAAAGAAAACCTAGGCAACAAAGCAACAATAAGGAACACCTTGCATTCATCTGTTCTGCCTTTTTTCTCTCGGATCTCACATCCGTTCTACAGGCAAATCAAGTCTGTCTTTCAGTGGGAAGTAAACCCAGCCTGAGATTCTGTCTTACCACCTCCGAACTCCCCCCTCCATTGCCAGCTCCCAGCACTGCTCACAGCACTTGATAAAGGTGGCTTCCCACCGTGTCTCATTTAGCCTGTCCCTGCTCTTGCTCTCCTGAAGTCTGTCTAGTCATAACTTGGAGTTGAAGCTTGACATTTTTCTGCTCAGACCCCCTACTATAGCTCTGGGGTCTGAGCTATCCAAGATGATGCTAGCGGGCACCATGGCCTTCACCCACAGACCAGGTGGATGTCAGTACTCCCTTGGTCTCATTTCCCTGGTTCCATGGCTTGCTCAGCTCACTCAAACAGTTGCCCGGTAGGCCTCTGCTACTCCCGACATACAACAGACAAACTCCTTCAGGAGCTTCCTTTGACCTATGGTTTTCCTGGGAGAAGCACTCACATCACGTCCCCAGTGCCAGGCTTAGGATGGTATAGTGGTTTTTCTCAAAGTTGGCTTTGCTCAGATAGTCTTTCCAATGAAGTTGACCCTGAGGTCTCAGGACTCTATCTGCAATATGTGGGAGCATTGTAGGACAAAAGCATGAAGGCATTAATCATCCTAGGGTCATTTAAATCACAGTTTTGAGGAAATAAAACAGAAAACAAATGTGGTATCAGAGTCATGGAATACTCAAATTGATGCCTATAACTGCAATGGCGTTCATTACAGACTATGGAACAGGCACTATTCAAATGTATTGCATGTGTCATTTAAAATTATGATACATGCTATCCTTAACCCCAGCTACATGTGATGTGTGTGAGATTTCCTGAGAGCACGAATTGGCCCCTCTGCGTCTCTCTTCCTGAAATATATTTAAAGTAACTCATGTAGCAGCCCTGCAGTTTGCCACAGACCTTTGTGACTCGCATGGCTGTGCTGACTGAATACACATGACTCAAAAGTTAGAGGGGAAACTCTCCCAGAGTGACTATTATAAAACATTGCATTGTTCTCTGCTTCCAGGCTCTCTCATAGTTTGTGAGTGACCCAGATCCTCTGCTTAAAACCAATTACACCTAACATATCTTGGAAAATTCTCCGTTTCCTTTCTGACTCATGTCCCTGCAGGAGAGAGCACAGCACAGGAAGTGTACAGGCTTCCTTTGAAGACAGATCTGCAAGGCGTAAAAATGGGAACACTCCACAGGGCCGGCGTATATTCCCACTTTTAGTCACCCTGATCGTGAAATTCAAATAAAACTTTCCTGTATCATTTTATATTCATGACTGTGCTCTTTCAAATTCAAAGAACTCAAAGACATGACAAGGACATTCTTTCAGGAAACACTCCGGTTCCGTAATAAATATTACACATTCTCCCCTTCTGACAGCCTTCGTGCAGCTCCTGATTTCTCCCAGTCTAGTCTTCAAGTGATCATGTCATGGGAAAAAATGGTATCAGTTGAGTAGTGTTTGCTTCAAGGTATAGTGAGGGTGTTGAGGATTGAGAGTTGACATGGGCGGGAAGAGAAGGAAGAAACTGTCCTTGTGATCAAATGACAACATCATTTGCTTGGAACCTGGCATCAGAGCTTACTATTTAGCTTTTCTTGCTGGTGTTATTCTCATCACTTGACAGGCTGGGAAATTTAAGCAAACTAATTATGTCCCGATGACAGTGACTTCTTTCGTTATGGTCTCAGCTGATCCTTCTGTGCTCTTAAAGGCCAATGCCTCTGTGCCCTGCGGAAGTCCATCTGCCCTGGAACTAGTGGCAAATATCAACAGCCAAGTCGTTTAGTGCCAGTGGGAAATATGCCCAACAAGCAAACATAAGGACACCTGGAGACCGTCTCTCCAATTTCCATGTAAGCCCCTGAGAAATCTTCAATGTAATTTTAGATAAGAAAATGGGGTTTTCCTGCAAATCTAATAAGTTCCAAATACTTTGATCAGGGAATGCAGTGGTTCACTCACCTAGGTACAAGCTGGGCTGGAAGAGAACAACTCCCAGTGTTAATGCAGCACTAAGGAAAACAGCCCTGATGCATTGGTTCTTACCGAGCTTAGGTATGCACATGTTTATTTTGTGGCACTGCGGCTAGAACAAAGGGCCTTGCGCACACTACGCGAACACCTTGTGCCTGAGTGCGGGGTAAATGCAACATTTCAAGAAGGACGGGCTTGCTGGAGACACTCTCCCTCTCCAGCATGTGGATCCAGGGAGTGAAACCGAGGTCGTCAGGCTTAGCGGCAAGCTCCTTCACTCACTGAGTCAGCTCACTAGCCTCTGAGCCATGATTCTACGGGCAGATAGCCATCCTGCATTGCACAGCAGCAGGACTCACTGAATTCCACCGAGTGAGTCAGCACACAGCTCCTGGACTCAAGAGTGTACCTAAGGCCACAGGCGCTGCGGAGAAAGGAACGCTTCCCCCAGGCTCTCAGGCAGCGCTGCTGCTCACTCTCAATCGTGGATACGAAGTAGGATAATTTGTCAACAGCAGATCCAAAGATAGCCTCACTGGGAGTCCAGTTAGGAGCCGGAGACCTTCTTTGCCCATTCACACTCTGTTAGCTGACCTAGGAATGATGGGCTCAAAGCAAAGACAAGAAGAAAGTCACCCGTGGAAGGAAACTGCCCAGTCAGTGGGAAGCCACAGGCGGAGACAACGACTTGACCTTTCAGAGAACGTGCCTGGGCTGTCCCTGGGAGGCTAAGAGAATCTGAGGGTAAGAGATGCAAAATGAACGCCAGAGCAGTGAAGCAACCGGGCTGCACACCAGCACACACAGACAAGGACTGAAGTTTCTGTGCTTATGTGTGTCTAGTTATGTTTTACTGAGGACGTGAGACCCTAGGTGAAGGGTGGGAGCAACATGTGACGTTTTCTAGAAAGAAAATTACAGAATCGGGTAAGAATTTTAAGACAAGGTAGCTGCAAATGATACTAAGATTGCTACTTCGGGCTACATTTAAAATACCTTCCGCATTTTCACCTTATCAAGAAAGTTAAAGAGCTAAAAGGAAGACTTCTCAAAAGGAGAGTAAAGTTTGCTTTGCCATGTTTAAAGCAGGCAGCAATTGTGAAATATGCATGTTCTGTGATTCAAACTTAAACAATTTTCCATGACCTCAACCCTTGACAAAGAACTGCAGGTAACTAAGCAATGCTAAGAGCAGGAGAAACAGTCTCCCTGAGGAAGAGCATACCAGTTGGTTATATCTGGAAACAAGGAACATTATTTTGACTGAGCAGGTTATATATATGTATTTAGGAATGCTCACACACACATATTATCAACAAGTAAAGAAAAAGGTGATAAATTTGAAAGAAGTCAGGGGGTGGGAAACATGAAAGGGTTTGAAGGAAGAAAGGGAAGGAGTTAGAGGTGTAATTATATTATAATCTCAAAAAAATCAAAGCTTTAGAGCAGAAAGAGAGTGCACAATTTGAAAGTCTTTCCTCACACATTTTGTATTCTCTGTAGATGTCGGGATCTACATAGTCCAGTAGTGAGAGTCCTAAGTGTTATGGGGCCCTCAAAAAATACTTGGGAAAATGGGGGACAAAGGACCTGACTTGTGAGTTGAAAGTGGATGTCCATTTGATAAAGTCCCACACACAAAAACATATTCAAGAGTATGCTAAAGAGTAAGGTAATGGTAGAAGCAAGCTCATAAATACAAGTATACAGTGTCTCTTCTATTTTCCTGGAAAATTCTTTTTTCTGTTACTATTGTTATAAAACAGGATTTTCTGAATAACAGAAGTATATTTTTCGAGCCATGGGTCTAACAAGCTGTTAATAAATGTTTTGTGAAGAAACTGGCTCATGGTCAACCCAAATACAGTTATAACATGTGTCCTTTGAGTCTCCCAAAGTTCCTTGTAGGGCTAGCGAAAACAGTCATATAAAAAGAACACTTGCTTGTTTTTCCTTTTGATGTGGGAGCTTCAAATACATTTCATCATGAAATTCCTTTTCTTAGGGAACATATACCAATAGCAAATGAGATGCGAGTGATACAAGAATCACAGAGATGAAGTTAATACATCAGGAGAGCAGACACACAGTGATGATCAACATGACATGAGATAGTCTAATACAAGATATTTACGTTGAATGAAATTCCTTTCAGGCCTAATCATTCCTGCAAATTATCTTCACAGGTAAATTAGCTCTCAGTCTCCTTAAACAGGTATGTTTGTGTGCAGATAGTAACTTCATGCAATTCACATTTTAAAAGAGGAAACACCTCAGGCCTTTCTCTAAGAATTGAGGAGCTATGGAAGTGTTCTCTAGGCATGTGCTGTCCTGCCAGTGTCTGAGAACTCTAAACCAATTTGCAATTCGATAATCCCATATCTTTTGAACAACGCAAACGAAGGAAGTGCTAATTGGTTTCCATGGCCTTACCTCCAGTCATGAAAATGAATTAGGGACATAAAGAAAGGTGCAGAATATGTAACTGCAAAGACATATAAGATATAATGAAAGCCTAACTGAATGCAAGGGAAAATATCATATTGATACAATACGATGATATTATTATCAGTTAAATAGTGGATGGCTGATGAGAAATTTCATCAGTTACTATTTCAACTGCCTAATCCTATAAAGAAGACAGAAAATTACCTGAAGATATCAAAAAGAAAAACATTAAAAATAATTATTAGCATTCCGCATGTTATTTTGTGCATTTAAAAATTAATATTAAAATTCTAGACACGTTATAGCCACATGACATTTACAAACTTCTGTCTTGATTTCAATGCTACATGCCTAACATTGCTAGTAAGTTGTATTTATTTCCCCCAGGTGACTTCATCCAAGCACACTGTTGCATGTGTCCTCTGATTCCTTCAGGTATACATTAGATAGGATGTCAAAGGGCAAAAGCCAGGATTTAGGCTTCAGGTAAGAATCCATGTCTTTGTCATTGAAATTTCACTTTTTTTGTTTTGTTTTGTTTTGTTTGACACAGAGTTTCTCTGTAGCTTTGGAGGATATCTTGGAACTTGTTCAGTAGACCAAGCTGGACCTGCAATTCACAGAGATCAGCCTGTCTATGCCTCCTGAGTGCTGGGACTAAAGGCATGGGCCCCCACCACCCAGAAAAATTTTACATTTATATAAAGAATGAGTCCACACCTCTGCCATTGGCAGATCAGAGAACTGTAGAGGCTATAATTTCAGGATAAGAAACTAAACGTGATGTTAAGGGATATTTGAAAAAATAACTTTAAAGCAAGAAGCAGTGGAAAAGGTATTTGTGATGCTTTCTTGCAGCACAAGGCAGGGCTTCAGACTTTATTGCATTTATGAATTTGCCCAGAACTACCCACCACAGGAAAGAATTCTTTACAACTTTCTTTAGCAGACATTGGAGAGAGGAAGCAGCCTGGTGACTGGAGTGGTCACAGGAAAAGCAACTGAGCTCAAGTCCTCCTCCTGCCTCACTGCCCCCTAGCAAGGAATGAAAGAACACTTGGTGCTGGCTGGAAAAGATTCGTCCAAAGGCATCACAGAGCAGGGAAAGCTCGACTCAACTCTGCAAAGGGGAGTGGAAAGTTGGGAGGAAGTACAAATGCTTTTCCAAGCCCAGGCATGTCTGCACATGGAGAGAAAGCAGAGTGTGTGTGCTGTGTCGCTAAAAGGATCCAGGGACAGTATCAAGTGCCAGTGTGAGGATCTTCCCCATCCTCAAAACAACTGAGTGCTAATTAGCATGCTAAGAAAGACAATGCGCATGCATGCTCTGGGAAGTCCTTGCCAGACAATATCCAGTCTTCCTCCTGTAGCAGCTGTGGAAATTTAGGAAATCCAGCTGCTGCTCATCTGTTTGCTCATCTATAAAACAGGGAAAATATCATTATCTAGCCCTGTAGAAAATGGAATAGCACGAAAGACAAAAATGCTTCTTCTGGGGAGGTGTCAGAGCTGCAGCAGAAACTTTGTGTAAAGGTCTCTGCAAACAGGTCAAAGGTCAGCAGGAGAGGGGGAGGGGAGGCTCCTGGGAGAGGGAGGGGACCAGGGAGAGGGTCAGTGCTTTAGGAGAGCCTCTTGCTCACCCTGCCAGAGGGTGGGGGTTGTTGCTGACTCATACACACTTTCAGTGATAAGCATGCAGCAGCCTGATACACTGTTTAGGGGAATAATACCGTGATTTCTACTTTTGTTGCCAAAGGAACAATGAAGTACTTGCTGTCCGTCCCTGCTGTCTACATCTCCACAGATGTACACCAGGATATTCAATACTGCTTGCCTTTAAAATTAACCAGAGATGTGCTGCTCTCCCCAATAGTGGGCGTGTTAGGCAGCAGTTCACTCATATTAACGTTTTTCCAACATAGAAAACATCTTAGACGTATCTAACATTTGGTTCTGTGGAACCAGCAGGTAGCTCTGTCACGATGATTATCTATGTCCCAGTAAAGGCTAATAAAAGAAAACAAGGGAGCCTAGGGAGATGGATCAGTGGATAAAGTTCTCACGGTGCCAGTGTGAGGAGCGGAGTTCCGATCCTGGAGACTACATGAAAGTCAGAGAGGGGTGGCAGGGTGAGCCGAGAGATCTGATGTAAAGGATGAGGGCACCGTGGTCTACACAGAAGCAGACGTAAATCTTAACCCCGGATTTAGCTTCTCTGGGAGATTGCAATCTGTGCCCCGCTACTGCCCTGATAGTTACCTCTCTAGCTCCTGGACAGATACTAGGTGAGAAGCAAGGGAGGAAAGGTTTGTTCTGGTTTACAGCTGAAGGGCTCTGTCCATCACAGCAGAGAAGGCATGCAGCAGGAGACGGAGACAGTTGTTCACCCAGCATCAGTTAGGAAACAGAGACCGGATAGGAAATCAGTGTGGCTGTGAAGATTCAAGACCCTTCCCTAGAGGCTGATATCCTCCATCAGGGATACACCTCCTAAAGATTACAGAGAAGTCCAAAGCAGCTCTGTAGACTGGGAACCACAGGTTTCAAGCACATCAGCCTATGGGATGCATTTCACATTCTATCAACAGAACAAAGACAGTCTTACCCTTAGACTATTACACGAAATTGCCCTAGAAATAAATCCTTGATGCTAGGCTCACAGAAAGCAATTAAAAATATATACAAGGAGCCGGGCATTGGTGGTGCACGCCTTTAATCCCAGCACTCGGGAGGCAGAGGCAGGCGGATCTCTGTGAGTTCCAGGCCATCCTGGTCTATAGAGCGAGTTCCAGGAGAGCCTCCGAAACAATAGAGAGAAACCCTGTCTCAAAAAACCAATATATATGTAAGTCATCATCACAAATGAAATTCCCAACCAATATTTATTTGCCGAAGCTCTGCTTTGGCTTAAGCATACAAAATTGAACCGAACTTTAAGACAGAACATCAAGAAATTAAGACCTCAAACTGTTCAAAGGGTTGAATATGTGACAGAGAAGTAAGTAATGATTTTAGTAAGCTTCCTACAAGGTAGCAAACTAAGAAACCGAACAAACTAAAGAACTGACTGCATTCTACCGTTCTGTGTATAACCAACAGCCATGGGACCTCAAGCTGATGTCAAAGAGAAATGGTGTTGCGTGAATTAAACAAACTGGTGTGTATAAAGTGTCAAACACAGTGCTTGCAGGGAGTATGTGCTTAACAGATTATGCATTAAACATGCTCTCAGTGTCAAATGCAAAATAGCTATTGCTGTTATTTTCTGAAGAACCTGTCACTGTTCTTAGTAGGTAACAACCTGTAGCATTTGCTGAAAGGAAAATGAGCACCAAAGCCCAGGGAAGTTGGAAGCACTCCCTTCCAGCCCTCCCCCTCTGAGAACTTTCTAGTAGGAACGCTTCTCTTTTTCTATCGTTTCACATGGTTGTAATTACTGGTTTGGCAAAGAATGCTAAAAACAATGGGATTGTTTTCTCGGCTGCTAGCCCCACTCAGTAGTAGGTCTTTGGGTTTTCCACCCTGTTATTAAATAGTATGGAACACTACAGTTCTCCTAAATTGTACTTGGATGGCCTCAAAGGTTTAAGACAGGCTAGAAGAGCATATGAATGCCTGGTACTTTGGTAGCAAACTGAACTCCATTGTTTCAAGTATCCATGTTTCTGGAGCTGGTTGGAAGAAGTATCAGTTTTTTCTCAGTTTTTGATCCTGGTACCCACTTTCTGCCACTATGGTGAACATATCTGTGCTCCCCATAGCACACTGGTATTCACTTACCTATTGCCTATTATAAAACTAGATGCTGGGAGGAAGTCAGAAAAATGCAAATCAGTGAAGAAATGGTCTTGTGTCCAAGTCCTTGTTACCACTCAGCCACCAAGTATATGTGGCATGTTTCATACTGGGTACCAGCTGCCTCTTGTTGACAAGAGTGCATCCTTGATATCAATGACTCTCCAGTCACAAGAGTGCAAGTTCAGATCAACTCTTTCATATTTAAGAACATTATAACATTGGAAAACATGCTAATTTGTTTTCCACTTCTGTTTGATTCATGGGATGGATGAAATAGCATCATTGGTTAGTTTGATAAGGATAAAATGGGCTATATCCAATACACTCTCAGCATCGAGGCCAGAACTGTGCTCTTGGTGATGTTTTCTCATAACTTTAGTTACAAATGTAAGATAATTCAGCATCTGCCACAATTAAATTTATAATCTACTGTAAAAGAATTCTATATCAAACAGAAGTCAGGATGGCAACATAACAGCAAACTGGACAACATCACCAGAAAACGGAATCAACACAAAAAAGAGGTGGAGGGATGGGAAGACATATAAACCACCAAAACCAAGTCAACTGAACAAAACCGTATGGAGGTCAATACTAAATAAAGATACCAAGTCCATTCGTGAAGCTGGAACACTCATAACTGGTTACCTGCACTATGTAAATTAAGAAGACATATGGATAGGAACCACATTATATACTGGAGGCCTCTCCCAGATATATGTAAACAAATGTTACTCTACAACTTTAAACTCACAACATCAAATTTGAGTTTAAATCTACAAAATATATGTGTATTTCTTTCTCCTTCAATTTTCTATAAACAAACAAATTCAGTGCACTTGGTATCCAGTTTGAAATATGTGTGAGAGGAGCCACACTGAGCACAGGGCCTCCTCCAGGGGAGGCTGGAGTCTAATCTCTACTCCTCTAATACTCTAACTGGAGTATTAGAGTGTCAATCACCTGTTAGCTCCCAAAGAGCCAGACCTCACAGTCTGAGCCTTCAGGATTGGGGGCCATAAAAAACAGCACCTAGAAGGATGTCTGCAAACATCCCTTATTTCTGTGGATGTGTTTTATTCTATCGTTTAAAGGCAATAGCTGGTGCATGGTGCATAGAAAGAATAATGGTCATCAGTATTCCAATGAATACAAAAAACAAAACAAAAATCCTCCTTAGATCTGACCTCATGCTCTTCCAGCTCAGACCCCCATAAGACAGTCCAACAAAGGAAGATAAATTACACCACAACCCAAACAAAAACAATTACAGGTTATGTGCTGGAAATACACAGGCTATGCTAAACTATAATCTGCCTAGATCATAATGAAGGAATGCCATGGTGCGAAAATAAGATGAAAAAAATGTAGACATTCAAAATTAGTTTCAAAATTAATATTTCTCTGGAAAACAATTCTTTGTGTTGCAGTTGTTTTTCATACCGTCAAAATCAAATGACTATGAATTAGAGACATTTATATCAAAACAGAAAACTTATTTCTATTTCATGTAATTCTACAGATATGACAATGCTTTTTTCCCTCCTTAGTATTTTAAACGTGACTCTCCTTACACTTTCTAAGGCAGTCTGCGTGTTCACTAATTTTTATCTCATGAAGACTTCTTAATCCTGTCCTTTAAGTGGGGAAACAAAGAAAGATCCAGGCAAGCTGAGGGTTAACCTGGTCTACATAGCAAGTTCTAGGGCCAGCCAAGACTGCGTGGCTAGAACCTGTTTTCAAAATACAAACTGGTTTCTCTTTTAGCCCCTACATGTTGCACTAGTGTCCAGCATAACGTAGGTGCAAATCAGATAGAGTCAATAGGCGAGGAATAAAATGCTCCTCAATTGCATTAGAAAGCAGGGAGTGAGACGGGCGTGGAGCTTCACAGCTGCATGGGGGTGATCCATGCATGGTCCTGCACAGCTTCAATCCCTGTACTCAAAAGGCTGAAGTAGCAAGGTTGGGAGCTTAACAGCAGAGTGGGCAAGACCCTAACTTAAAAAAGAGAAAGAAAGAAAGAAGCATGTATACAGGCTAATAAGTTTAACAGAGTTCAATATTTGATATCTTTAGCCACCAATCTAGGGTCTTGGGGCTTAGTCTCGGCTCCAAACGCCATGCTAGGTTGATATATTGAAGCGTACAGTGACACTGATAGCTAGTCTTTGTAGTTGGCCCACCCATCAGCCAAACCAAAATCAACAGCAAAGTTTATTGAGGAACATATTACAACACTAGAAAGAGTTTATGTCTTCTCAGATAAAATATACCCCTGTACCATGTTTACAGACACTCTCTGGCAGAAGTTACAGAGATTAGGGTAGCTTTATCAGAACTCACACTCTGCTGCCCATAGAGTACTTATTAGTATAATTGGATGATATAATATTATACTTTCAAATAAAAACGCAGACACATGAGGACCATGGAAATAAAGTAAGAAAAAAACACATGAATATATACCTCACCAAGAGACACAGAATTCTTAAGGAAATGTATTGGATTAAAACTAATTACTTAAATTTAATGAAATACATTGTGGCTCCAAGTGGTTCTTGGGAAAGAAAGCACAACAAATTTAGGACATCAGATTCTGAAAATAGCCTCTAAGTTTCATCAGAGCAAGAGCTTTGTGAGGTCCATGAATAACTACATAGACAACTTTGTATCTATTCATATTGCACAAATGCAGAGGGCTGTTCTTTATATATATTCATAAGATTTGTTATACATTAAAGATAATAGGTTGTTTTCTAATTTATTGCAAGCTTTAAAAAGAAATGCTCATTCTGTACTCCTGTTAGTATGAACAAACTCCATAAGGCCGTTCATCTCTGGTATCAAAATAAATTACGTTCAGAATTAGCTAGGACCTACTGATTTGCTTAAATTTATTGTTGTTTTAGGATTAATCGAGTAGTGACAACATTGAAAAAGTCTGTTCCCTTTTCCTGTCATAAAGCTACCACGTTACACCGAACATATTTCAAGCATAAAGCCTTACTCATTGTTACAGTGACTTTTTATTAGAGAAAGTTGTTTGACAGCATGAGAATAGCATTTGCTTCATTTCAAAGATTGCTATCACCTTGCTATAAATGTTTTCCTAACACAGAGGGATAATTCTGCACCTGGAAGTGATCCCGAGAGTGGACTTGAGTTGCTTCCTTTACTCTATCTTGGAGTCAGCTGCCTGTGAGAACTGCAAATCCTTCTGTGCAGCAGCCACTCCCGGCTGTTAACAGAGTCTGCAGACAAAGAGACTCACCTCAGGCTCAGAGACAGCAGCTGCTCCTTGGACTTCAGCAGTTCCCCAACTTGAAAACTGGCAGAGCCCAGGAAGCGCCTCTGAAAAGAACGAAGAATGTTTCCCATCAACTTTTGGGATTCCGTCTAAGTTTCTGTCTCCACACCAATTACACAGAGTTAGTTAAGAAAAGAACAAACTGCTGACTCAATTAGCCCGCAATGTTTTACTGATAGAAAGACAATGCTGAAATATCAGCTTAGTTATAGATAGACATTGACAGCCTGGGAAATAACAAGAAGTAAAACACAGCAGTCAGGACTTTCCCACTAGCTATAATTTCTTCCCCACAAGAAAACCAGGGTCCAAGAAGATGCTAAACTTTCAATATTCACTAACATATCCACTTACTGGAGTTCCTCAGATCACTGGCAACAGCAATTCTGTGTTCAAGATATGAGAAAGTCTGCCTCTTGGAGCTATTTTTACATGGGTCTCTGTGAGTTATAAATAGAAAGACAACATTTCTCCCCATCACAGAAGCATTTGCTTCCTTTTGTTTTTTTTTTTTCCTTTTTTCTAGCCTGGGACAACTTCATCCCAAACACACAAAATAAATAATACTTCAGCTATGTTTTCCAAAGTTAGTTTTTAAACGTCTCACAACTGGGTGTAATGTTTACCAATAAACATTGGCTATCTATCCTTCTCAGCTCAATGAAAAGGACTTCAAACTGTATACTGTTCTTTTTTTCTATCTCAGGATTGCAATCCTTTGACTGTTTCTGGCTACTTCTGATTTGAATGTGACAACACTATGACATAAATGCCCAAAAGAGTATTTCTCACATTTCCTCCAGGGTAGTGACTAAACATAAAAGTGTCAAAACCATATAGTCACCCATGCCATCACTGATGGCAGAGTGTGATGCCCCATGAGAGGCCAACACCACGTCTGCTGGCAGACTGTGCTTCAAGGAGAAGCTGGGGTAAAGTGCCTGAGACTGTGGAAAACAGAAAACCATTCCACACACCGAAAGAGGAAGTATACATACTGATTTATTGCTGAAAGAGAAAAGCATCTGGTCAGAATGTTTTTTCTAATGCATATGTGCATCGCCTGCAGTTTGTACATTTGGGTGAGCAAGAGAGCCAGGATGAGGAGTCAGACGCCCTGGAATTAGGGTTACAAACAATTGTGAGCTACCATGTGCGTACTGAGAAGTAAAATCGGGTCCTTTGCAAGAGAGCAAGTGTTCTTAACTGTTGAGCCATCCCTCCAGCTCCAGGTCAAATAGTTGAACCTCTTTTCAAAACTCTATTGTAGAAGAACGGGTTCAGAAGGCTTTAAAGGCAGACATCTGAAAGCACAACCTGGTTTTGAAGTTATATACAACTCTATTAATATTATCCCCAACTAGATAACTTGGATTTCCAAATGTTGTAATATGCACCCTGTCGCCAAGGACTGGGAGTTCTGAACTCATATTGTTAGATGGGTCAAACCAGAGGACGTGAGGAGCAACGGGATAAGCATGGACGGAAACTGAACATCAGGGCCCTTACCGACAGAATCCAGACCCCGAGTGACTGGTGAGCAAGTGCAGAGGACTGAGCCCACTGAGACACTCAGACTCCCTCCTCAGAGAGTCTCTGGAGCAGACACCAGAAGAAGGCACTCACCGTCTCACACACTCTTTGTGAGTCTCTCCTTACCTTTCCCTCCAAATATATTGACACCCACCTGATATATTTTAAATGGCATTTCTTAAACCCTTGCAAATAACTGAGATTTAAAGTTCTACAAAGATGATTGTTTTCTGTTATATTCTGCTGAGCACACACTAAAGAAGGGAACCAACGAGAGACTGACAGACCCCAGATTTCAAGTAAGTGACTCATGTATTTATTTTTGTGATAAGATCTATATCAATAGCCTGGAAATCACTACATATCACAGGGTAGCCTCCTGTCTCAGGATCCCTAGTCCTGAACTACAGGCATATACCACCACATCCAGGTCAACCACATTCTTTTAATGCAAGGGGAAGACACATTCATTTTGCAGTTACTCATAAATCACCGTAACTCACAAAAATGAGAACCATAGTGTACAAATAATACAGCAAAATACCAGTCTAGCAATCTGCAATTTAAATCTTTGTAAAAGTATATTTTGCTACTTTTTAAAATCATGTGTATGTGTGTCTTGGGGCTTAGGTGTACGCCTGTGAGTGCAGGCTTCCCTGGGGTGTCGAATTTCCCTGGATTTGGAGCTACAAACAGTTGTGAGCTGCCACGTGGATGCTGGAAGTCAAGCCTGGGGCTCCCAAAGGAAGGGCAGCTGCGCTTAACTACTGAGCCATCTCTAGACCGCACTACAAACTTAAAAACCATGTCTGTTTCACCTTCCCTTTCAGTGACAATCAGGGGTTTTAACGTAAATCCCCCATCACATTCTATCCACTATTCACGTTCCAACAACATTCTCAACAGATCTCGAATTTCACAAAACGCTTGACTTTCTAAGCTTGTTTGATGCACCCTTTAAAATTGTGTGGGTCTGGAGGAAGATAGAATAAAGTAACACATGCCTTGATAGCATGGTGGCCTTTTTAGCTATAAAGTAGCAATTGCCTCAGACTTGAATTTTGCGACTAGAGACAGGTGGAATGGCTAATTTTAGGGATGATCTACTGACACACCATAGGCACAGCTGCAAGTAAGATTGGTGACCACAACAAAGGACCGTCTCTGTCTGCTGAACCAGAGCCCTTTCAGAAGCAGACCTGTAGCTGGCCAGTCTCAAAGACAAGCCCAGAGTTGTTAACAGAGCGCCATGTGTCATGCATTATGTTGTACAGTGAACTGTACAGCATACACAGTGTGCCAGGAATAATGACTCCAAGGCAAGCACTCCCATCATAACTGTCATCAGCCCAGGCTAGATCTCAGCCTTGATCTGACACTTCAGAGGTTTCCAAAATAAGACACATTAAAAATTAGTATTGGTAAAGGCCTGATACCATACTTGCCAAATGAGATGAGACGTTACTTACTTACAAAGGTTTATTTTATTCAATACCTAACTTCATATAGGAACTTCAATTTGTATGAAATGAACTATCAAAAGGCCCAATTCTGTTATGTTGTATTTATTCACATTCTATTTAAAATACAACTATATCACTTTCTTCTTTTCATTTCCTCCCTCCAGACCCTCCCATGTCCCTTCCTTCGAATCCTCTCCATGCCACCCAACTCTTAAACTGATAGCTTATTTTTCTTCATAATTGTCCATATGTGTGAATGTATGTATCTACACACACACACACACACACACACACACACACAAGCACACTGGAATACCCATGGATAGGGGAAAAGCCACACACCATGCTAATGTAAAACCACAGTGATACAGAGTTGTATTTGTCCATATGTGTAACACCAAATAAGAGAATATATATAAAAAAGTTCATAAATTTCACAAGGCTCCTAATTTTGTAAGCTTGTTCAACTTGCGTTTTGAAATTGTGTTGGTCTGGGTGACTTTATAATAAAGCAAACTATTCATGCCATGGTATTATGATGGTCTTTTAGCCATCAAGTATCAATTGCCATACATATATTCATGTGTTTATCATTATGTATTTACATGAATATAATGTAATACATGAATATATAAGTACAATGTATTTGTATATATATAGTGTGTGCATGTGTGTGTGTGTGCATGTGTGTGTGTGTGTTTTGAGTTTATTTTTACTGTTTGTGTGCATAAGGTTTCAGGGCTGACCACTTTGCCTTGGATTCTCTAATTAGGGAGCTCATCTTTGGAAAAGCTTAATTTTTCCTCTCTCAGCAGTCATTAGTTGTCTATAGCTCTATCTCTGGGGAAGGGGGGGTGAGATTGATCCCTTTCACTGTGGCAAGACTTCTGATCTGCCATTGTTCAAATCTACTTCATGAGACAAGTCTAAGACAGGCAGTCGTACAGCAGACTTCCTGGCCCTCTGGCTCTTACAGACTTTCTGCCCCCTTTCCATGCTTTTCCCTAAGGTTCCATTTTTAAAATAGTGTATAATTGTTTTATACTATAACACAGTGTGTCTACAGGGACTCCTCTGATCACTATTAAGGAAGTCGGTGGAGGTACAGAACCACCCACAGTGACACAAGCTGGCAAATGTCCAGCATGAAGGCTCTTGTTCTAAGGTCTTCACTCAGATGGTAATCCTTCATACTACTATTTAAATGGTTCTCCTCAAAACTTTCCAAGTACTGTATAGAGCCTGGTTGCCCAAATGGATTAACCACTAGTCTGGTAGCTTAAATTGTGACTTCTTCAAGAGGAGGGATCAATAAAACTGAATGTTCCCTGGGTTTGGAAAATAGAAGCATGGACTATAACTTTGTTTTATATTGAGCATATTTTAAATATGTATTATTTCGCATATTGTGATTTAGTCTGCTTCGTTTAACTAATTAAAAACCTAGCTACTGTTTTAAATGATATATGTAGCAAATATTATACATTACTCATTTGATTTTGACTGGACACCTTTACATTGCAGATTAAATGAGCTTGTAAAAGATGTTTCAACCTTTCTTATAAAGCCATAAGTATATGTGTATATATAATTATATAATGTAGATATAATTATGTGCATATACTATAACCATAGAACAAGACATTTTTATAGCATGGGTATTTGTCTTCACTGTCAACCATAACAAATATGGTTGCATGGTGTGTCATCAGTAATAAAAATGTTAATATTGAAAATAACACCATAAAGAAAAAATGGAGGCTAATTATTCAGAGTTTATGGATAACCACAAAACTAAAGAGTACTTTATGAAAGGTCATCTACTGAAGAATTGTGTATTTGTTATGAATACAGTTCAAAAGGTCTAAGGGCACAAATTGCCATCTATTTAACTAAACCACCAGGACAAGGCTTGGATATATCCAGAAGGTGTTGCTTAAGTATGCTCAGAAATGAGTGGACACATTTGTAGGAACCCAAGTGAAAGCTTTCAGCTCATTCTGGCATAAGCGTTCTTTGTACATCATAAGGGCAGAGTTACTAATGGGCACCATGTTCTAGATCAATAGCTTAAACCTCAAACCATGTACTAGCATTCAAAGAAATACCCTGGAGATTGATGGGATGTGTATTTAGCACTGGTCCTTCATAGGTGCTCAACAAGTGTTAAATCTTTACTATGCAGAATAACATAACTCAGGCTGTAGGAATTTCAAGTTATGCTGACTCATCCTTATTTAAGGCAATTCTTTCTGTGTGTGAGATTGGTTTCCTGATCACACTTAACAAGTTACGTAAGTGCTGGCATCATAAAACATGCTAGATTCTCTCATGTTAGTATCCTCTTTTCTAGACTCTTCTCTGCTTTGTCTATAATTTGTTGTCTTATGGCTCTAAAAACAACAGAGAGTAGTTAGTAAACCAAAAAAGAATGCTCTTTGGTTATTTGATAAAAAAAATCTAGGCATAAACCTAGAAATACTGAAGTGAACAAAGTCAAGAAGTCCTAGAAGTGTGCAAATTGCAGAAATCTAATACCTAAATTTTATCACTATTAGTATTTTGTTCTGCTGTTGTTATTTGAGTAGGAACTACTTCCAGAAGCCCCTTTAAGGACTTAGTTCTTCTAAGACATAAAAGCCATAAAGCAAGCATGGCTTCCCAAGCAACTCATGTTTTCCAAATGTGAAGAAGGATGCTGACCTAAATTTAGCATTTTACTCTTTCAAATGGGAAGATGAGGACTATGATAACTTTTGTGCTCAGATTGCACAACACATAGGAAAAGGGTCAGGCAATGCACTCTGATGTTCAAATTCCATCATGTGCTTACAGTGTTGGGTGAAAGAGGCGACCCTGAGCCACATGGCAGGGAAGTAAACAGTAGGGAAAACACACAGGGTCCCTTGAATGGACTGCACGGGCAGCCAGAATTTCTCTATTAACCATACTAAGGACTCTAGCAGCTGTCAAAACCAGCCACAAGGGCCATACCCTCATCTTGCCAAAAGTGGTGTAGCCTCTGTCACATACTCTTCTATGTCACAGCCTGAGCAGTAAGAAGGGGGCAAACGTGTGTGAAATTCTTCAGTGCCTGTATGTACAGAGATATGATTGTCATGGAAAAGGGTAGGAAGATAGGGAAGAAAAAAAAAAAGAGTGACTCAACACTTAAATAAATAAAATGGATACCACCAACCAAACTGATTAAAACAACAAAAGTTCACACATTTAAGCCAAAATATGATTAGGTCTAAAGCAATTGGACAATTGAAAACTAAAGCAACTTGGCAACAGGGATTTAGAGCAGAAGATTAACTCAGCTCATCCCTTGAACCTCAACAAATAAATGAGACTCTTTAATAAAACACTGTGTTAGTTATATCAATGGTTAAATTTTTCTAGCTTTCTGGGGTTTCATGAAGGCATCCTAGAAGGTGTGTTGAAAACATGCCCTGGAGCTCCATAGAGTTCTGGGGTTTTATGTAGGCAGTCTAGGTGTGGTGAGAGAATGCTCTGGAGTTCTGGGGTTTATGTAGGCAGTCTAGGTGTGGTGAGAGAATGCTCTGGAGTTCTGGGGTTTATGTAGGCAGTCTAGGTGTGGTGAGAGAATGCTCTGGAGTTCTGGGGTTTTATGTAGGCAGTCTAGGTGTGGTGAGAGAATGCTCTGGAGTTCTGGGGTTTTATGTAGGTAGTCTAGGTGTAGTGAGAGCATACCCTGGAGCTCCACAGAATTCTGGGGTTTTATGTAGGCAGTCTAGGTGTGGTGAGAGCACACCCTGGAGTTCTGGGGTTTATGTAGGCAGTGTAGGTGTGGTGAGAGCATGCCCTGGAGCTTTGTAGAGTTCTGGGGTTTATGTAGGCAGTGTAGGTGTGGTGAGAGCATGCCCTGGAGCTTTGTAGAGTTCTGGGGTTTATGTAGGCAGTTTAGGTGTGGTGAGAGCATGCCCTGGAGCTTTGTAGAGTTCTGGGGTTTATGTAGGCAGTGTAGGTGTGGTGAGAGCATGCCCTGGAGCTTTGTAGAGTTCTGGGGTTTATGTAGGCAGTGTAGGTGTGGTGAGAGCATGCCCTGGAGCTTTGTAGAGTTCTGGGGTTTATGTAGGCAGTGTAGGTGTGGTGAGAGCATGCCCTGGAGCCTCCTTTGCAGGAGTTGGTGGTTGGTGACCAGATGGTGATTGTGGATCAGAGGGAAGAAATAACATGCACAGAGAGCACCAGACTCAGCAAAGGCCTCGGCTGTGGGTCTTCCTTGACTGGGAAGAACTTGCTGGGCCCTTTGCCAACTAAAGTGCGAACAACTTGTGGGATCTGAGAACCCACCAACACCAGTGGTGGAAGAGCTGGGATAGCATCAAGGTATAGGCAGAGAACCAACGGCGAAGATTGCATTAGTCCATGGAAGCCTTTCCTCTCTCCTCCGAGAAGAAGCCAGAAGCTCTTGTGAGGAGTAAGAGAGAACCCCGCACCCTGTCCTTCTCTGTACTAGCAGATGCTCTGTGAACTAGAATTCTGTTCAGTCAACTTGCGCTTCAGTGTATGCTTGAAATATTCCCTCAGTACATGGCCGAGCGACTGCCTTCAGTGAGAAGAAATGAATGGCACCCTGTCCCGCTCTCCTCAAACTCAATGGGAGAAGGCTGTCAGGTTCCCGAACAATTTCTAAATGTGCTTTTGGTAACTTCTTTACTCCTCTCTGAGTGGAGTGGCCTGGGGGCTCTCCTTGTGGGGCTGTTTATTCAGATTCTGCCACAGCCAACTCTGGCCCTGTCTACGCAGACCACACTATTATTCCTAGTAAGTACCTCTTGGTCTTTCACCTCCTGTAGGTTAGAGATGCAGTTCTTCAGGTGTGTCAGGCAAGCCTCAGTGGGTGCTCAGTGCTGCACTGAACAGCAACAGCAGCCTGCTACATGATTCACATCCTAGGAGACAGGAAGGGACATCCTATCCTGACCAGTTCTCTGCTGCTTCTCTATGAGGCAGGAGCTCATGCCGGTAGTTTCCCTAGCCCACAGGAGCCCAGGAGTGCTGGCTTACAGCTGCAATTCAGTTGCCTGCAGAACAGTGTCTAGGCTCATCCATATCATCTAAACTAAATAAAAGAACCCATTTGAAAATGGATTATTTTCAAAAGACAAGAGATAAATTCTACTCAATTCAGCAACAAAGCAGGTATCTCCTCAGAGGGTCACTCCCTGGTAATTTAATTGCTTTTGTCGGCTCTCAAGCAGGCAGGAAGTCAGAGAAAATGCAAACCATTAATTTATGAAGGACATATGTACCCTTGAGAATATAAGAAGCACCTACCCCAACTTCCGGAGGGGAGTCCTTGTGCTCTGGAAGGACACTGGTTCGAATCTGTGGGGAAAAAGAAACATTTCTCATGTGACTTGCAATAGATACTTGGGCAGAATTTACACATGGGTCCTGAGTTTCTGTTTTCTTCTTCTGATGTCAATTCAGACTAGCAAGTTAATCATCGATAAAAACACCTGCCCTTGGTATCCACCGAAGTGCAATAAAGCCTTCTTTTTACATTTCCAAAGCTTCCTGACTTCTCCAATGGACAAAGCTCCTTAGCTCTCACCCATCTCCTCCTCCTCAGAAGCAGACAGACATCTGGGACTTAATGAGCCACCTTTTATCTCCTCAAAAAACAACTTTCATTCTCTGTTCCAAAGGAATGATAGAATGGTAGAAAGTAATTCCAAGAATTCTGGATAACTGTCTCTGAATGAGAGCCAATCCTGAGCTCCTCCTAGGAGACCCCTTCCCTCTGAAAGTTCTGGCCCATATGATAGGGCAGTAACTTCTAAATTAATTTGAAAAAATAAGTCTCACTCAATGATAAAAGGATAAAAAAACCAGTCACCAGGAAAAGTTTGCCACATGAATATTCCAAGTGAACATGAACCCTTTGAATAATTAGACATGTACATTTTATGAAGGGGTGTTTATCTACCCTTGCTTTCCACTAGAATTGTGGGGGTATTTCAAACTATTTTTGTTCATCCCTGCGACTGTGTTTTCTGAGTCTCGTTATATAGCTACTGAGCCTAGTTCTCCTAAGGAAAATAAAAAGCTCCAAATGGAAGAGAGTTAGGTTATCTTTCTCACATAAGAGAAAAGGCAGCAAGAACAAATAAGACTGGCATGAGAGCCTTTGAAATGAAAATGAGATGAGACAGCTGAATGGATAAAGGGCAATAGGAAACTGTGACCTGTGTAACTGGAGAGCAAGAGTCAGCAGGGATGGAAATGGATGAACGGACCAGAAGTGTACTGTGGAAAAGGTTTCCTGAAGCCATTCTAACAAAACCCCTTTAGAAGTGCAGCCCTGTGAGTTCCTGGGGTTCTGATGCACCCTAGTAGCACAGGTCAATGGTCCTAAGAGGAAGGGGCAGCTACAATATACCTAGCAGTGTCAAAAGGTTTCATCCAGCTTTTATGACCCATGTATCTTCAAATCCATGTGCTGTAGTAGAGCATGACTTTTGATTCCCAGCCTACAGCTCTTTATTTCTTATGGCAGATCCAGTTCTATCACTTTCACAAATGTGTCAGTCATTATTCCACCAAGTTGTTTACCAGTGGGCAAAGGAGAGATACCAAGAGAGTGAACAATACAATGCACAGAACACGCTCAGCTCAGAATGTGTGCTGGGAGGCTCCCTTGCTAAGACTTTAGTAGCTTGGTAGCTGCATGCACGTTCTTTGATCATGTTCACTACTCACTCTCACTACACGAGAGCCATCAGCGACCCTCAGAAAGATGGGGAAAATATATACATACTGAGCTGTTAGATATCACGGAGAACACACGCGCACGCACACACACACACACACACACGCATACCCCTTACATTCAATTGTTCATGAGCACAGCCTTGCTCCTTGTTCCTTTCCTCATAGTTAGCAAACCAAGTACAGACCAATATATATCACAGGTATTCACATGTGAAACCCACACACTTATACGCATGTGCTATTTGCATTCTTTTTCAAAATATTGACTACCAAAAACATTGTCAAAAGGGAAATAACCTGTACTGAAACATAAAACAAAAATTGAAAGAGGCCTGTGAGGCTCAACATGTGTAGGAGTGCATAAAACAGTTGATTTAGGGTGTATATATATATGTATATATATATATACATATATATGTGTGTGTGTGTGTGTGTGTGTGCATATGCAGCGAGAGACAAAGTTAGAATAATATTAACAATCTCAACATGGCCCATTGAACTCCAATATTCATGTGGTTTTTATGATGTCTTATAAATATGAATAAGCTGTAGAAGAGAGAAGATTCTTTATCCCAATTCATATACATAAAAATTAAAGATATCATGGCCTGGTTTACTATAGTCTGTGTATATGTGTTGGGGAGGGAGAGGAGGAGTATGAAAGTACAGAGCAAATGAAATTGTCGTTTATTTTGAGTAATAGAAGGTTGAGTGCTGGTTTGCACAGTGTTAAAATGTTTGAGTTGACACTGCTGATGTCAGGGCTCAGCTTCCCTCACATGTAGTGTATCCCATTGCACATCTCCAGGGCTGTATGGGGAACAGTGGTTTGCCCGTGAATAGGTGCCTGTCCTTCTCTTTGGGGCTGCAGTGTCTAGTGGCTGTGACAAATATAAGACATTCAAGTGCAAAATAGCAAGTGCCACCACAGAAAAGTGAACATTTGCTATCAGTGTTTGGGAGGAAGACTCAAGATTCTCGGCCTCTGGGTATCAGGGTAAGCTGCACAACGGAGGTGCTCAGGGTCTTAAAAAATGAGTAGGAGTTTGCATCAAGGAAGAGCACAAGGAAGCATAAATTAAGAGTGTAAGGTAACAGGTATACATCACATAGCTGCTAACGCCCAACTGCCTTTGTAAGGCATTTGTTCCCCAGGGTGCTTTCGCGAACTTACAAGAAGTGATTTGTGGATAGAGAAAATGTGGTACATTTACACAATGGAGTACTACTCAGTAGAAAAAAAACAATGGAATCTTGAAATTTGCAGGCAAATGCACAGTACTAGAAGAAGCCATCCTGAGTGAGGTAAACCAGTCACAAAAATACAAACATGGTACTCACTCATATATGGATTTTAGACATGGATCGGGGGAATGCCAGCCTACAACTGACAGAGTCTGGGGAACAGGAAAGAACCTAAGAGAGATATGCATGGTACCCCAGAGAAGAGGAATGAGGCAAGATCTCCCGAGAAGATTGGGAGCAGGGTGGGGAGGGGAGTGGGAGCTGTGAAAAAGAGAGGGGGAGAGGAGTAGGAGAGAGGAGGCCATGGAGGAGCAAGAAGGTTTAGTTGGGGGAAGAAAAGGGGAGAACAGGATGAGAAATACCATAATAGAGGTACGTTTGGAGATCTGGCACCAGTGAGACCTCTAGTGATCTACAAGGATGACTCCAACTGGCAAACTAAGCAATAGTGGAGAGGCTACCTTAAATGCCCTGCCCCAATAATGTGACTGACGACTTCCTTGTATGCCATCCTAGAGCCTTCATCCAGTGGCTGATGGAAGCAAAGGCAAACACCCACAGCTAAACACTGAACTGAACCCCTGGAACCCAGTGACAGAGAGGGAGGAGTGATGAGCAAAGGGATAAAGAATGGGCTGGCAAAACCAGCAGAAACAGCTGACCTGAACAATGGGGAGCTCTTGGACCCCAGACCGACAGCTGGGAGGTCAGCATGGGACTGATCCAGACCTCCTGAATGTGCTGAATGTGGGGGTCAGTGAGAAGACCTGGACAAGGGCCCTGGGCAGTGGATCAGAATTTATCCCTGGCATACAAATGGACTTTGTGTGTGTCCATAACACAAAGAGGGTTGCTCTCTCAGCCTGGATTCTTGGGGGAGTGCCTGGACCCCGCCCTGAACCAAATGACAGACTCTGGATATCCCTATGGGGAAGGGTGTGGGGATAGGGTGGGAGGGTGGAGGGAATGATGAGAGGGGTGTGGGAGCAGGGGAGGGAGAGCTGGGATTGACATGTGAAGCAAGCTTTTTTTCCTTAACAAATGTAATAAAATATAATGAGAAAAAAAGAAGTGACTTGATTTAAGTGGGTTCGGAAAAGTAGATTGGGTACAAAATGTATAAGGGCATGACGTTACATAGTTGGTATCTTTTTGTTTATATGCTCCTCCCAGGCAACAGAAAATCAGGAAAGGCTTTTGGGGCTATCATCTGAATCATCCCAAATCCTTCTGGAAGCTCTGAGCCTCTGCCCTTCTGGCTTAGTGTTGGCTTTTTTAACGAGACTAGTGTAGGTCATTGCATTGTGTCCCTTGCAGCCCTTGGAGCTGTTGTGGGCTAGAGAGAGGAGGTAAGGAGTGAGAGCAGAGTTGAGGAATCAGGATAAATGAGGCAGGGAAGGAGTAAGGTGTAAGGGAAACAGAGAGAAGACAGAGGAATTGAGAACAACAGAGTAACCGGAATGCGGGAGGGTGCTACTGACAACACAGTTCTGAAAAAACTCAGATGTGGCTTCTGGGCCTCTGACTGAAGAAGGTATAAAGCCATAGCTGTTTCTGCAGTATTTGGAATTTTCTAGTTCCTCACCACGTCATGTCTCCTGAGGATTAATGATCTTCCTTGGGAACTCATTTTTTTTCCCTTTTTAAGTCTTAACATTTTTTCCTACTGAGTGTCTTCAATGCGCCTCTCCCAGAATTTTCCCAGAACAACAAAAAAAAAAGTCTACCCAATTATACAATCAAAGCCCTCGTGGCTCTTATCTAGAAATTTATGACAACAAATAAAACCAGGTGGGCCAGGTGATGTGTGTGACCCAATGCGTGCTCACACTTGGAATGGTATCTTGCTTATCCCCTAAGTTCACATAAAGCAAATTGCTTTCCTGACATTTTAACCTTCGGCCAACCCCAGAAGTTCAAGGTTCACATATGGTAACTTTGATACAACAACCATATGCTAGCAGGTAGGGAGTAATGTAATTTCCTGAAGAATGCTTTGCTAACTTTCAAAGCTTTAAGAAATTGCAGGATATGACTCCAGTAGGTGAACATTCAAGCTCAGGTCCACCAAGGAAAACTCCAGAAGCCAGTGAACCTTATTACACAGAACACTGCTGTCCCAAGGTTAAAGACTGCTGCATTTCCACTGGTGAGTAAGTGACCAAGCATGTGGCAATGAGTCGTGCTGGAGATCCAGAGCCAGCCAAAGAGAAGATCATATCAGCAAGAGTCTTTGCCCCTGGCTACATTTCCCGGACCTCAGGTTGGCCCATTTCTGAACTGGTAAACAAGGAAGGAGCAACCTTCTGTAGATAGACACAGACAGAATAGAGGGAGAAAGTTGGGGATCAATTCCCATCCTCCAA